TGCATCTCATCAAACCTTCATCTTATACTTGTAATTTTCATCAAGTTTGACAGATTTCCATCGGAAATTAAACGTATTATGCTAAAAACGTTATTTTCCTATATAAACTTTTAAATGTTCACCCTCCCCAGGGGGAAACGTGATGCTCTGGGGTGGCGCCGTTGATATTTGTTTGGCCCTTGGAGTTGGAACCATTAAAGTCACAAAAAATGTTCACATTTAGCGATTGAAGTTTTCTGCAAAATCAAAATCGGTTCAGGGATTTTCAAGACGAAGTCAAAAATGTTAAACGTTTACAACCTACGACGCCCGAAGCCGAACAAAAGGTGATTGCATTGGGTCACGATGATAAATTGTGACAAAATGACCCCCAAAAAACAGCGAAACATTAACTCTCAACATCGTCTCGAAAATGAAGGTGTTAATTGTATGATATTCACACGTAAGCAAACACTAATAAGACTAGAAAATGAAAGGGATTCAGGAATTTCAGTTTTTTAAAGTTTTGTCATTTTACAATAAATTACAGAGCCATGCGTTTTTGTATAGACACATTAACTACAGGAATGTGTGTAGAGTTGGAGCTAGTCAGTGCCAAGAGGTTTGAAAAGCTTTGTCATCTTAACAGGAACTCTCCAGTAATATTGATTGTAATTTTAGAGTGCATGCTATAAAAAATACAACACGAAACCGTGTAGATGACACGTTAGTATCATGTATGAGGTAAATAGCTATATTATCGACTGAAGAATCGTGATATTGGTGTCAGCGACCTGATTTTGGGATTATAAAACCAGCATGGTTGTGATGATGATGAGGTTTTTGTGTTTGTGGAATGCCATTGTTTTTTGTCTCTATGTAGATATGTAGGCAGTAGTTTTGTAATCACAAGACACGTTCTTTGATATATATTACATGTAGGTATGGAAACATGTTCACGCTAAAATCGATTTGACGGGTTTTGTTGGGGCGTGAGGATGGAATGTCTACGGATCCATAGAACGGATCACATACAAATGAAAACAATGCGGAGATCCTCAAAGAGACACCACCAAACATTTGTCATGGTAGACCTATATTTATTTTCATGAAAATTGATTTAAGCATTGAACTGATTCCAGTTGGCATTCATGAGCATTGAATGCCTGCTGGACAAAGCATATACCATGTGGTGCCATGAAGTGAATTTGCATTTGTCTATATGGAAATCATAAACCTATGAATGCCAACTGAAAGCACTTCAATGCTGTTATTTACCTCTATCTTGTATTATCCAACTTATATTTTTTTCAATTTTTATTCGAATTCAAATATCCCGTGATCCCATTAACAGAACTGAGATGATTAATTTCCTTTACACCGGCTATATAGTGTCTCTTTACACCGGCTGTATAGTGTCTCTTAAAACCGGCTGTATAATGTCTACACCGGCTGTATAGTGTCTCTTTACACCAGCTGTATAGTGTCTCTTAACACCGGCTGTATATTGTCTCTTTACACCAGCTGTATAGTGTCTTAACACCGGCTGTATAGTGTCTCTTTACGCCGGCTGTATAAAGTCTCTTTACAGCAGCTATATAGAGTGTCTACACCGGCTGTATAGTGTCTCTTTACACCGGCTGTATAGAGTCTCTTTGCACCGGCTATATAGTGTCTCTTTACACCAGCTGCATAGTGTCTACAGCAGCTATATAGTGCCTACACCGGCTATTTAGTCTCTCTTTACACCGGCTGCATAGTGTTTATTTACACCGACTGTATAGTGTCTCTTTACACCAGCTGTATAGTGTCTCTTTACACCGGCTGTATAGTGTCTACACCGACTGTATAGTGTATCTTTACACCGGCTGTATAGTGTCTCTTTACACCGACTGTATAGTGTCTCTTTACACCGGCTGTATAGTGTCTCTTTACACCGGCTGTATAGTGTCAGTGTCAGTATAATTGGTGTAAAGATATTTATAAGCAGATATACAAAGCACATGAGCTAAATCTGTCACATGGATAACTCAGTATTTTGATTGTAAAGTGTCATTATTCAATAAATCGAATGATCAGACAGTTCTACGGTGATAGTACAAATATCTAATCTGTCGCTGGATTTTTTTTAACAAATCCTGCTATGAGTTTTACAGACGATCACATCAAGTGCTTACTGTTTCTGTTACCACAAAAAGGGACGGAATACTTGTATCGGAATCCAGTTTGATAAAATATCTCACCGTCGTTATCTGTTCTTCACGTTCACTTTGCAGTTTGAGAAGGTATTACATACAAGAGAATTATATAGAGAATATTAAATAACTATCTACATGTATATCAGAATATTAACATGGATACAATCTATATTTAATTCTATTTAGCAGGCTTTATTTCGTTATTGCCTTCCAACATAGAAGAACAGATAGGAAAGTGATAAGAACGGATAAATTAATGAGTAAGAGATTGTACAAAGACACTCAAGTTTAAATAGAAATACAATACAGAAAAGCCAAATCTTATAAACATGGGCTTATCGATAAGTTGTAAGTCTCATATTTAAGGGTTTGACTTTTGGTGGACAGATTGCATTATTTTTCAACATAATGCCCTTCAGTATCTATACACTTTTGCCAGCGATGTTTAAGGACGTCATTGTGTTGTCCGTTTTGCAAAAGACACGTGCCTTGTTTACTTTAGAGTGTTTGTACCTCTTTGATATATACTGACCAAATGACACCAGTCTTCACGTAAACAACCTTAAATAGTCGGAAAATAGTATACAGGTAAAATGAAATAACTTATCGATCAGTCTTCGGAACTGCATCATACAGATGCAAGAAGATAGTGGAAGAAAGATAGAGTTGAACTCGACTGATCTGGTGTTGTGGATAATTAAAGGTTGGGATAGGGTAGAGAAAATGGAGACCGTTTTAGTGTGGTAGATTGTGGGAGAGGAGAATGAGATAGATATGGAGTCGACTTGTTCTGGTGTGGTAGATTGTTGGAGAAGAGAATGAGATAGATATGGAGTCGACTTGTTCTGGTGTGGTAGATTGTTGGAGAAGAGAATGAGATAGATATGGAGTCGACTTGTTCTGGTGTGGTAGATTGTTGGAGAAGAGAATGAGATAGATATGGAGTCGACTTGTTCTGGTGTTGTAGATAGTGGGAGAAGAGAATGAGATAGATATGGAGTTGACTAGTTCTGGTGTGGTAGATAGTGGGAGAAGAGAATGAGATAGATATGGAGTCGACTTGTTCTGGTGTTGTAGATAGTGGGAGAAGAGAATGAGATAGATATGGAGTTGACTAGTTCTGGTTTGGTAGATTGTGGGAGAAGAGAATGAGATAGATATGGAGTTGACTAGTTCTGGTTTGGTAGATTGTTGGAGAAGAGAATGAGATAGATATGGAGTCGACTTGTTCTGGTGTGGTAGATTGTTGGAGAAGAGAATGAGATAGATATGGAGTTGACTAGTTCTGGTGTGGTAGATTGTTGGAGAAGAGAATGAGATAGATATGGAGTTGGCTAGTTCTGGTGTTGTAGATAGTGGGAGAAGAGAATGAGATAGATATGGAGTTGACTAGTTCTGGTTTGGTAGATTGTTGGAGAAGAGAATGAGATAGATATGGAGTCGACTTGTTCTGGTGTTGTAGATAGTGGGAGAAGAGAATGAGATAGATATGGAGTTGACTAGTTCTGGTGTGGTAGATTGTGGGAGAAGAGAATGAGATAGATATGGAGTTGACTTGTTCTGGTGTGGTAGATAGACATTGTACCAGATTTTAGAAGTCGACTCCTGCAGGCTAATATTGTTCTACACTTATCTAATCACAATGAACAGGCCACGATCATATACATGTAAATAAATGTTCACACAAAACATATCATATGATATATAACATGTCGTTATATAAGACATAATATATTAAGACATATTTCCATAGATCGCAAATATTAAATCTACATGAAATATGTTACATATTTGTAGACGTGAGATTTATCCTGTATTTTGATAACTGTTTTAGGATTTGTTTTTTTAATAAGTGTGCTAACTAATTCACGAAACAAAGGATAGCGTGATGTTACCGCCCATGGGAGTAAGTATGATAACCTCGACATTTTAGGGTCAGTAAGCAATAGGCGACTAGAAATATACTAAGCAGTAGCGTGATAAAGTGGGTATTCTGAATCAGGCTGAATCATACAGTGTATGGAGAGTCTGTCTCTAGACCGGCATTATCAAACTAATAAAAACTATACACAGTATGGCAGGTGGTCTTCTTATCTAAACCCGGTTCTCATTCAGGAACGTGCCATTATTTGGAATGACCTAAATTTGAACAATGAATGACATCGATGAAGCTGCAGACACTTTCCCTTCCGGAACGTCTGGTCATATTTTCCCTATAGTTACAAAAATATATTTCCTTTGTGTTTGCTTTGGTATTTCCTTGTTGCATTTTGAAATACTGTATTTTTCATGACGTACTTTACTTGCATCTGTCTTGATTCCTAATTTAAGTCGAATCCTACCAGGACGAAATTACTGTTTGATGCTGCTTAATGTATTATTCGTCTCTATTTCACCTAATTTACACTTGTATTGAAAGTTGCTGTTCATTTTTGTGTTATTTTGTACAAATACTGACATATCTAAAGAATCTTAAAGTAAACAGAAGTTCGATGAAATTAGCACAAGCTGTGCTTCAAAAGAATGTTTAACACCTTTAGCAAAAGGTACAATGATTATATGACCGTGTTCCCGAAGAGGAAGCGTTTTCTGCTTCTTCGACGAAACACGTGAAGTTCATCTTTACGTATCCAAGTTCGAAGTGAACAATGTCAAGTTCCCAAATGGCAATATACTGTGACGTGTTAATCATCTAACTAATAACGTTATAACAAAAGACGGTAAATTTGAACAGGAAGTTAAAGAAATAGAGCCCATAGAACGAAAGCAAAGTACAACAACATTATGATTCAAAACTGTTCAAAGTGATAATATATTACTTACGTGGTAGAGAGTCCTGGTATCCAAACCGACTGTCCATTGACCAGATACATTCTCCTTGATTAAAAACGTCGTTACAACTGGCCCAAAGTCCAAGCCTAGTCATTCGACCATATGCACTGATGAGCCAATATGGCGGCGCGAATGCTAACATTGTCAACAACACGTTCAGTGACGTGCATGATATTCCAATGACGTTGAACGTGCTTCTCCTCATGATGATATTTTGATGACGTGACAACACAAAAAATGAGCAACACAGCGACTTATCTCTTAATTATGTCTGATAATAAGTTGAGAAAAGTTTAGATATTTGTGGAAATCAAAGATCAGGAATGATTTTCGGCAGTTTTATGGTGTTTTTTTTTGATAAATACGATATAGCATTCACTGTAGAACAAGGAATTCTCCTTCACCACACTTATGCCAGACAAACTTGCATGGGTCGGAGGGAGGTAGCAATCCACGTCAATGGGAATCTTTAAAGACCTTCCATGTTCAGAACTACATCAAACACTATAAAGATGCATGTGTTTGTTTACAGTGTAAACATTCCTCGAAGTTGTTTACTGAAGTAAACCAAACAAGAAACATTAGGAGCATCCAATTAACAACAATCAATCAATCGATCTAAAAAAATTCCCTAAGTAGTCACTGACGATATCAGGGAACCCCAACGTAACCCACCTTCTGTACCACGTGACCGTCGATACCCTAATTTCGTTAGAGCAGTAGTCTCAAACACAGATCTGAAAACAAACAAGAGAGAATAGTTGTATAGTGTATACATTCTTCACAATGGGATAGAAATGATTTTCACTCAGATAGCTTTCCTTTCCCGGAAATTCAATTATATACATGCAACAAAACCTCCACTTACATTTTTTTTCTTCGCCTTTTTTTCCTACGTGCAGAAGCTTAATACTCTATATCGAGTTTGATAATACAAATATGTGACACTGAAAAAGGATATAAAACAAAAATAGCCCCAATTCATGAACCCCGTTACAAATTGCGTCCAAATCTGAAGTTAAAATATGAAAGATTTTTTTGTTTCAGCAGTCCAGCATTGAAGTTATCGGAATGTTAAGTGTTATGCCGGTGTCTGGGAAAGTGAGTTTGGATGTTGTTATCAACAACAGACGTTCCTAGTCGTATCGTCTTTATGTTAACTCTACTTAACTAACTACATAAGACTTAAATAGTTAAATGGTTCTTAATTGTAGACCCAGACTACATAACACGTCAATATTTCAGTTTTAACTAAAACAACAATGTCAAAGTTTTTTATATAATTACGGAAACAAGAAAAAATCCTACATATGAACAGAATCATTATGCAAAATCAAATTCCACACGGACACCTCTATAAAAAAGAACAAGGAAAATAAGACCAGAGGTTCAGGAAGGTTTAGTGTCTTTTGTTTCCTCGACAGCACCAACCTCATCTCATCACCTCATCACAAAATCTTATAATACCTACACTAAAGGTCAACTTATCATGAACTCCAGCTATTAATATCATATCAATGCTTAAAATGTCGAATTCATTATTATGGCAGTTCTTCTTAACAGATGCATTCATTATTTCGACTCAAACCAAGTGGTGCCAAGAATGTGCGACAATGAACCTGCAATTACCTATCAGCATTATCACCACAAAGGCACTTTTTTGTGTAAGTGTTGTGCTGTTAAACAGTATAAACTCAATGTGTAGAAGGACTCACTGTAATTATTTTCCGTGATGTTTAGCCATTTCACACAAAATGGAATGTTAACTTTTTATGCCAAGAGATGCTCCAATTTTTTGTGTTTTGGATCAAGTACATAACATGAATAGTTAAAGATAATCCATATGATTTAATCATAGATTAAGATATTTTTGACATTTATCACTGATATTTTCTTTCAGTGCCGCATTGGCCACTATAAGGTAACATCACAAAATGGCATTAACTTTATTTGTTATTGGGTGATAACACACAAAACAAAACACGACAAAAAGTAAAATGCTTGTTTCGTTAAGGATTAATTACATAAAAATTCCGTATAGACATAACACGTTTAAACCAACACCATCAGATAATCTGTGTAACACCATCAGATAATCTGTTAGTAATACTACACATGGTGTGAACATGGACAGCAAGTCACACACTGTGGGTGTGGGCTTTTTGTTATGATCAATATAGTGAAATTCAAATTCAAATTTAAAACTGAAATTGATGACGTACAACAATAAAACATTCATGTATAAATAATGTCCTTTGTTTTATTGACCAAATGCCCTCAGTTATTAGTAGCGTAAGTGGATATTGAAAAATAATCATTTTATGAAACGTAAAAATGAAAAAAAAAATAAACCCATAAATCATTGTAGTTTAAAGACAATAACTAAAAGACTTATTGTGTATGAGACGTCTCTAACTCCAAAGCCTCGTCTGATAAAAGTGGCGTCATCGAAATGACACATATAAGTTTTTTAGTGGTTCTGATATAATATCCTCTCTACATTACTTACCAACCTGAAGGAAATGTTTCTCAATATTTCAAAAATATCTTCAATACCATACGTAGATAAAAAGAGGACTAGTCTTTAGAGAGATGGATCCGGTAAAGAATGAACCCGAAGACGCCTAGTGTGTATAAAGTTTGGGCCAATTATTAGCATACTCCAGCTGACGATTGTTCGTCAAGTAGGAATATCATATTTTTCTAGGCGTCCTGTGTACCACTCAAACCATCATACGATCAAAGTATGTACATGTAGTGGGATTGTAAAGCGCTGTGGACACAGTAACGAAACACCTACACTTACATATCAATCACTGTCGAGAGAATGTATATGATACTCTTTATAAATTAATGTTTATCCCGAAGGCTCTTTTTCTATCCATTTCTCATTTTTGTTATAAAAACATTTTGATTCTCTAAAGGTGAATGGCAAAAAACAAAAACAAGAAAATACCATCATGTCAACATCATCATGACCCAAATCAAAGTCAATAAAACCAGGTCAAAATATACACAAAAGAAATATTTACACAGAAGCTCCTGAAAATGCACAAGGAGAATAAGACCAGGTGTTTGGAAACATAAGCGTCTTCTGCTTCGTCGACGACACATACCATGTAAACCTTGGTCTATTTAAGTAAGTAATGCCATGTTCTCAAATGAGAACAAAGTATATAAAATATATAATCAATGATATTGATATAGGTCTTTTTGCGATATGAAGAAAATACCAAAATGTCAACAGCGCCTTGATTCCAATTCAAATTTAATGGAACCAGAGCAAAATATGAACAAAAGAAAGATTTACACTGAGACTCCTGAAAAAGGGAAAGTGTCTTCTGCTTCATCGACGAGGCCACTTTGGTCAGTCCAAGTAAGTAATGTCCTGTTCTCAAATGAGAACAAGGTTAATGAAAAAGGGACCACCAGGCATGTTAACGAACACCAAACACGTTTAACTTCATTTGACACAAGGACATTATTTCTAAATAAAATCATTATGACGACACTAAAACTTTCCCATCATCTTCTGTTTCGGCAAAAGTGTTATAAAAATCCATTATAGACATGAACAATGCAATCAATGTGCTAAACCCCGATCTTATACCTGGACTTATCTTTAAGATTGTTAATCATACCTAAAGATGTATCTAAAACATGAATGAATAAGATGGATTTTCATACGTTATAATTTTCTTGATTTGTATACATGGTTCATTTTTGTAAATGTACCATTCATCTGCTACCAGAACATTCAATAAAACATACTTAAACAAAAGGATATTCGCAAACTAAGTGTCTAACGAAACTCCATACCCAACAATCCCGCTTATATTGAAACAAAGTTTTCTTCGGGAAGTAAAATATTCCAAACGTCCTAAACTTATTATAATGATAAATATATATTTCAATGTAATGTTATCTTTATCCGGTCCATTTTAGGGTTTTTCGCCATGTTAAAAGCTAACAAGTCGTTCTACTTATAACCGAAGGTACCTAGTCAGTTGAAACATCAGTGAATGGCAGCTTTGTGCACCACCGGCTAGCATCGTTGGAGCCATTACACTGCTATAGCGACATGGCATTACATGTAATGAGCATGCCTTTCATCATAGTAAGCGTCGTTATGACTATGATAATGACTATCATTTATACACAATGAACCCTTATTCAATTGCCTTAAGTGGGACCAAGGATGTCCTGTGATTTGGTTTTTATCCGCCCTAAACTCAAGCGCTGTTTAAATGACTTCTGCACGACAACTGACGTACTATTATAGAAACATTACAACGATGTTTTCATTCGGTTGAATGACAGACTCATATTATCAAATCACCAATTTGATTATTTCGAGTATGATTTATATACTGAAATAATGTACACAAATGTAATCAATATTTTCCCTATTCATAACAATTTGTTCCTGAATTACCGCGTTTATCTTATACAGAGCCGCTGTTCGCGGCAGAAATCGGACTGCCATGTTGGTTTACATCTAACACACATCTACATTGACACATGCTTTCTGTGATCAATAAAATAATCTCCATTGACACATGCTGTGATCAATAAAATCATCTCCATTGACACATGCTGTGATCAATAAAATCATCTCCATTGACACATGCTGTGATCAATAAAATCATCTCCATTGACACATGCTGTGATCAATAAAATCATCTCCATTGACACATAAAATCATTTTGTGACACATGCTGTGATCAATAAAATCATCTCCATTGACACATGCTGTGATCAATAAAATCATCTCCATTGACACATGCTTTGTGTGATCAATAAAATCATCTCCATTGACACATGCTGTGATCAATAAAATCATCTCCATTGACACATGCTTTGTGTGATCAATAAAATCATCTCCATTGACACATGCTTTGTGTGATCAATAAAATCATCTCCATTGACACATGCTGTGATCAATAAAATCATCTCCATTGACACATGCTGTGATCAATAAAATCATCTCCATTGACACATAAAATCATTTTCATTGACACATGCTGTGATCAATAAAATCATCTCCATTGACACATGCTGTGATCAATAAAATCATCTACAATGACACATGCTTTGTGTGATCATTAAAATCATCTTCATTGACACATGCTGTGATCAATAAAATCATCTCCATTGACACATGCTTTGTGTGATCAATAAAATCATCTACATTGACACATGCTTTGTGTGATCATTAAAATCATCTCCATTGACATATGTTTTGTGTGTTCAATAAAATCATCTTCATTGACACATGCTGTGATCAATAAAATCATCTCCATTGACACATAAAATCATCTTACACATGCTGTGATCAATAAAATCATCTCCATTGACACATAAAATCATCTTCATTGACACATGCTGTGATCAATAAAATCATCTCCATTGACACATGCTGTGATCAATAAAATCATCTACAATGACACATGCTTTGTGTGATCATTAAAATCATCTTCATTGACACATGCTGTGATCAATAAAATCATCTCCATTGACACATGCTTTGTGTGATCAATAAAATCATCTCCATTGACAAATGCTGTGATCAATAAAATCATCTCCATTGACATATGTTTTGTGTGTTCAATAAAATCATCTTCATTGACACATGCTGTGATCAATAAAATCATCTCCATTGACACATGCTGTGATCAATAAAATCATCTCCATTGACACATGCTTTGTGTGATCAATAAAATCATCTCCATTGACAAATGCTGTGATCAATAAAATCATCTCCATTGACATATGTTTTGTGTGATCAATAACATCATCTCCAATGATACGTGCTTTGTGTGATCAATAACATCATCTACAATGACACGTGCTTTGTGTGATCAATAAAATCATCTCCATTGACACATGCTTTGTGTGTTCAATAAAATCATCTCCATTGACACATGTTTTGTGTGATCATTAAAACACATCTACATTGACACATGTTTTGTGTGATCAATAACATCATCTCCATTGACACATGCTTTGTTTGATCATTAAAATCATCTCCATTGACACATGCTGTGATCAATAAAATCATCACCATTGACACATGTTTTGTGTGATCAATAACATCATCTCCATTGACACATACTTTCTGTGATCAATGAAATCATCTTTATTGACGCATTCTTTGTGTGATTAATAAAATCATCTTCATTGACACATGCTTTGTGTGATCAATAAAATCATCTCCATTGACACATGCTTTGTGTGATCAATAACATCATCTCCATTGACACGTGCTTTGTGTGATCAATAAAATCACACAAATCCCAAAGCAATTTTAGCACATTAAATCAATCACTGCATTGATAAGGATCAATGTTTTAAATGTTTATCACTTATTTGGTATTTGTTCTTACGAAGACATCTACAAATATTTGGTCATTAAAACAATTAAGGTATTAAGTCGAAATTAAAATTTTCATCATTGAAAAATCTTAATGATAAAAAGTCGTATTATGATACCTGGTAATAATCAAGTAGAGTACGGGTCATTTGTGCTACACACATTGCTTCCAGTCAAAAAATTAGCTGACCTATACCGGAATGGCTTTACATACTTGTCTTTGATTGTTGACATTTTGGAAATAGTAAATAAGAAAATTCCATATAAATTCGATACATTACTACATACACACATTCTGTTACAGAAAAATATATATATTGTATATATATGTTGGATGGTACACTCACCTGGTGACTGTATAAGTGTTAGTCACATGCACTTAACGTCTGACATAACTCCACACACGCCCCGGCACGGAACACAGGTTCTAAACGTAACGAATCTGAACCACTATAAACACAAACATCACAAACACACACCTCATGTTTCCTTTGACCTTTGAACCCGAACAACCACATGCATGCATACATATATATTAGGGAAACAGAAGCAGCAGAGGAAGTTGTAACACGGGGGTTCAGGCTAAAGAGTAGTTCACCAGCTGTGTTTGACTTCTGACTCTCAGCAGATGAAGATTTGAAAGATAGTTAAGACTAAATGCCCTAATTGTTTTACCGTACCCTGTGAATAAACCACCATCGCCCACTCTATACTACACCGATAGTGTTACCATTATCAAGTTAGATGCTGATAGATATAAGGCGATAGCTTTAACATTACAGTTAATGACCATGTAAGCATTTGGAAACAATTTATCTTACACAGCAGGTAGCTGTTCAGAACGTCTCACTTAAGCAGTTTCAATTTCAATGTAAGTCTACGTTCTTATTTTTAAGTTTGTATGAGCGTTCTCGTGCTCTCTTTGGTATTTATAAAATTGTACTTTCTCTAAAACCTGTTTTTACCTGTTATTTATTTGTTTGTATTTTTATAATTTATATCACAAAATATTAAAAAAAAAAGGCAAGCATCATCATAATCCAAACTTAGATTCGAAATATAAAGAAACTCCTGAAAAAGTACGATGAGAATAAGACCAGGTGTTCTGGAAGAGTAAGCGGTTTCTACTTCATGGACGACACATGAACAATGAATTACATAACGGAATTAAAAGATGTATAAATGTCACATAATTATTGTCCACAATTGAGGTGTATTTGTGTGTGA